AATTAAGAAATGTGGATTAAGTGATAAAGAATGTAAAATCTTCAGAGGTAGTTGACGGAAGTCTAAAATATTGTATAAGACAAAAATGTATGTTAAATGACTGTTGGAAATGATATGTTAAAAAATTAATAAAAATGTATTTTTTTAAAAAAGGAAATCAATGTCCTTCTTTGCATGTGATTTGTGTTCTCTTTTGAGGCAATAGCTTTGGGGGACACCCTACCCAAAATGCCATTTAACATGCTTTTAAAAAATGTTAATGGCAGCAGGCGTAGGAGGGAGGGGAGGGGGAGTTTAGTCCTTTCTCTCCTCCTCCTGCAACCCTAATTAAAATCACCCCCACTGCTGCTATTGCAAGGTTTACTTGCAGTGCAAACAAGAGTGTTGGGGATGTGATATTACAGTAGTCCAGGGGAGAAAGTGTTAAACTCTCCATTGCTGCCCACCACAGTTCACCTCTTGCTCATCCCCTCTCCCCATGGCAGCTATACGCATTTTTAAAATGGCATATATTAAATGCAAAAGAACATTTAATGTCACATCTAGTTGGGCCTGGAGGTTAGTTCTCTTGGAAACCCCGTCAAGCATCTGCGAACCATATTTCTGATTCCATCACTACAAGAGAAAACACATTTGCAATTCATAAAAGTGTTGCGTGTACATGCCCCTGTGTTTGTGTATGTTTCCCCAGATACTTGAATCAGCTCCTGCTCTTGAGGCAATGCTCTCATCAGCGTGAATGAGATGCAGGATCTTGCCCAATATCCGCACAGTATACAAACATGATTCACCCTTGTAAAATAAACAAGGCTTGGAATAGTGAGCCGGCAGAAACAGACGTGATATGACACAGGCAACGTATTAAGGAAATGGTCTAGCTTGTTGATAACTGGAAAATGTTTCTTATTACAAAATAAGACAAAGGTAATCTCTAAAACGTATGAAACTTTACTAGAGTGGGAGGTGAAGGATGAACAAGTAAAAGAGGTAATGATTAAATGGGAAATGGACATAGGCAAACCTATTCAATTATCATTATGGGGGAAATTATGGAAGGAGAATTGGAGATTTACAGCTTGTGAGGCAATAAAGGAAAATTTGTTAAAGATGTTTTATAGATGGTATTTAACACCAAGCAAAATATTTAAAATGTATAAAACAAAATCTAAATTGTGTTGGAGGTGCAATCAAGTAGAGGGGACGCTACTACATATGTGGTGGACCTGTGATAAAATTAAGAGCTTCTGGGATTTGGTATATGAAGAGTTGAAGAAAATATTTAAACAAACTTTCATAAAAAACAACCAAACAAAAAACAGAAGCTTTTCTATTGGGAATATTAGATTCAGATATTGCTATGGGAAACACAAAAATATTCCTGTATGCAACATCGGCAGCAAGAATCCTAATTGCCAAAAATTGGAAAAACGAGTCAGCACCAACAAAAAAAGAATGGCAAGAAAAATTATTTGATTACCTTGAGTTGGCTAGAATGACAGATGCAATTAGGGGTCAGTCTAAACAAAAATTTCAAAAGGAATGGGGAAAATATAGAGATTATCTTAAAAAGCAGTGCCCTCAAATTAATACCTGGACTTGTTTTGATTAACTTTTGCAAAACAAAAGTCTAAAATAGAAAGAAAAGTAGGAAAAAATGAAATGAGAAGGAAACAGTTTATTAAATATGAAAGTAGATCCGCGTTGGGGACAAAGGAAGTCAATTAGAAGAAAACAAGAAGTGAAATATGGTTATACAGTCATATCTCGGGTTGAAGCAGCTTCAGGAGTATTTTCAGGTTGCGCTCCGTGGTGACCCAGAAGTAATGGAGCGTGTTACTTCCGGGTTTCGCCGCTTGCGCATGTGCAGACGCTCAAAATGACGTCACGCACATGTGCTGAAGTGGCGAATCGCTGCACGCGCAGACGAACGTTGCAGAGAAAAATTGATTTACAAAAAAGAAAAGAAAAACACACACCAATAAATAAACTTTAGAAAGGGGCAGAATTAGAAGTGGACACACAAAGGGTTTTTTTAAAAAATAAAAGTAAAAAATCAAGACTCCTTGTGCTCTGCTCTGCTCCCTCTTTCTTCCTGCCCAGGGTAGCTCTGCCCTCTCCCTGTCCCTCAGAGCTGGCATGTTACACAGGGCTGGGCCTCCAGCAGCCGTTACGAGCTGCCCAAGGGAGAAGGCTGACAGCAGTGGCCACGGAGAGGCAATGGGATGCTCCTCGCCACCACTGTTGCTGTGGACAAGCACCAGTTCACCCTCCTTCCTGAGCTTAGTGGTGGCAGCACGGGAATGGGGAAATAGGGACACTCCAGGATCGAATCTAAAGCTGGGGTGGCTTTTGTAATTCCGGACTGTCTCTGGAAAATCAGGACACTTGGAGGGTGTGTTTTGGGAGCCAGACTTCTCTGCTCTCCTCAGCTAATATAGTCAATAAAGTTCAATTCAAGCTGAGAAAAGATGCAGGATTTGAGGGCGATCGGGCTTTCTCCCAGGAAGACATTTGTCTGACAATTTGAGGAATATAATTGATATTTTGGAAAAACTAGAAGTGAACATAAACACTAAAGCAGTTTTGATATTTGTAGACGCGGAGAAAGCCTTTGACAACATTTCTTGGAACTTTATGAAGAAGAATCTACAGGGTATGGGGGTAGGCCAAGGTTTTGAGAATGGTATAAGTGCAATTTATTCAGAACAAAAGGCTAAACTAATTGTAAATAATGTTGTGACGGAAGAACTTAAAATTGAAAAAGGGACACGACAAGGTTGCCCAATTTCCCCACTGCTTTTTATTTCGGTCTTGGAGGTTTTGCTGAACATGATTAGAAGGGACCAGTTGGTTAAAGGTATACAAGTCGGAACTAAACAGTACAAATTGAGAGCATTTGCAGATGACTTAGTATTGACGGTACAGGAGCCAGAATCTAGTACTAAAAGGGTTTTAGAACTGATTCAAGAATTTGGTCAAGTGGCAGGATTTAAACTGAACAAGTCAAAAACTAAGGTTTTAGAGAAAAATTTAACACCGATTGAAAGAGAGAGGTTTCAGAATGAGACAGGTTTAACAGTGGTTAAGAAAGTTAAATATTTGGGGATTAACATGACAGCAAAAAATGGGAACTTATTTAAAGATAACTATGAAAAATGTTGGGCGGAAGTGAAAAAAGATTTAGAAATTTGGTCAAATTTGAAGCTTTCACTGCTAGGCCGTATTGCTGCGATAAAAATGAATGTATTGCCTAGAATGTTGTTTTTGTTTCAAACTTTGCAAATTGTGGACAAAATGGATTGTTTCAAGAGGTGGCAGAAAGATATTTCTAGATTTGTCTGGCAGGGCAAGAAGCCCAGAATAAAATTTAAAATACTAACAGATGCAAAGGAAAGAGGTGGATTTGCCCTGCCAGACCTCAAACTTTATTATGAATCAGCAGCTTTTTGCTGGCTGAAAGAATGGTTACTTCTTGAAAACACTGACATTTTGGACTTAGAAGGTTTTAACAATGTATTTGGATGGCATGCATATCTATGGTATGATAAGGTCAAAGCACATAAAGCATTTAAAAACCATATTGTCAGGAAAGCGCTGTTTAATGTTTGGGTAAGATATAAGGATTTGTTAGAAAATAAAACCCCAAGGTGGCTGTCACCAATGGAAGCGAAAGCCTTGAAAAAGCTCAATATGGAGGTCAATTGGCCGAAATATTGGGAAATTTTGGAACAAGATGGAGATAGACTGAAATTGCAGAGTTTTGAAAAACTAAAAAACAAAGTGCGAGACTGGCTTCATTATTTTCAGATAATGGAGGCATTTAAATTGGACAAGAAAATTGGCTTCCAGGTGGAAAGATCAAAATTAGAAACTGAACTGTTAGAACCCGAAACTAAGAATCTGTCAAGAATGTATAACTTGCTGCTGAAATGGAACACCCAGGATGAAACGGTAAAATCAGCTATGATTAAATGGGCACAAGACGTTGGACATAACATTATGTTTGCTGACTGGGAACAGTTGTGGACCACAGGTATGAAGTTCACGGCATGTAATGCCTTAAGAGAGAATATTATGAAAATGATATACAGGTGGTACATAACCCCAGTCAAGCTTGCAAAAATCTATCATTTGCCCGATAACAAATGTTGGAAATGTAAAGAAACTGAAGGTACATTTTTTCACCTTTGGTGGACGTGCCCAAAGATTAAGGCTTTCTGGGAAATGATATATAATGAATTAAAAAGGTATTCAAATATACCTTTCCTAAGAAACCAGAGGCCTTTCTCTTGGGCATGGTCGGCCAAATGGTGATAAAAAAGGATAGAACTTTCTTTATGTATGCCACAACAGCAGCAAGAATACTTATTGCAAAGTATTGGAAGACACAAGAACTTCCCACGCTGGAGGAATGGCAGATGAAACTGATGGACTATATGGAATTGGCGGAAATGACTGGTAGAATCCGTGACCAGGGAGAAGAGTCGGTGGAGGAGGATTGGAAGAAATTCAAAGACTATCTACAGAAACACTACAAAATTAAAGAATGTTAGAGTGATGTTGGATGGAAAATAAGTGGTTTCCAGCTGTACAGGATTTAATGTTATAGATAGATTAAGATTAAAGATTAGGATTAAAGAAGTTTAAGGAAATGGAAATTTGGTATTTTAAGAGGTAAAATTTTAATGCTATATTATATTAAAGATTAAAGATTGGGATTAAAAAAGTGGAAAAGAAATTGCTGGACAAACAATTTGGACTGGAATACAAAAGAGGGAGGTATGAGGAGGTCCAGAAAATAAGTAAATTTAAACACGGAAATGAAAAGGTGATTCTTTTTAATTGTTCTGGGTTTTTTTGTTGTTGTTTTTTTCTCTTTGGATTATGTACTGTGTATTTGTGTATTTCTTTTTTATGTGTATTTGTGTATTTCTTTTATATGTTTTTCTGTTTAATTTTTTACTGAAAACTTAATAAAAAATTATTTTTTTTAAAAAAAAGGATTTGAGGGCGATCTGGCTGCGACATCTGTCACCCCATTGATCGCCAGGGTTGATTCGGCTGATCTGGCTGGCTAGGCGGGTGTCCCCTTCCTCCCTCACCGCTCCATGTGCGTCCCTCCCAAAGCTGCGCGCTCGGTGGAAGAGGACGACCATCCCAGATAGAAGGAGTGTACCGTTCTTCGGTCAAGGGTATACGATAGCTGCGCTCCCCTGCTAGAACCTCCAAACAAGCTCAAGCTGAGAAAAGATGCATTCCCGTTTACACTGTCCTCTCATTAATTTAAAAACGAGATCATGTCTCTAATACAGTGAGCTGCCAGACCTTGAATCTCCCCCCCCCCCCCCAAAATTTTTTTTTTTGCAGTTGTGGCCTTTGGTGGCAAAAAACGAATGAGAAACCAATGCCTTTCTGAGAAACTCTGCTAGCTGTTTGCTAACAAATGAACTGTTTTTCTTAAGAATCCATTACATGGAATTTGTAATATATACATTATTAATTAAATATCTGGCTCATGGTCCCTTTCAGAGAAACAAGAGGCCAGCTCATGAAGAGCTGGGTCAGAAGGCTGAATTTGCTGGAGAAATGTGTTACTACTCCAGGCTTCGTCAGAATAAAGTTCATTAATCTTTAATTCAATCTGTAGTCCATTTCTACAGAAGCAGCTGAAGACAAAACTCCCCTTAGCCTTTTCTAAGAATCCCAAAAATCTCCACAAGGGGGAAGGAAGGAATAGTGCAAGGAAGTTCATACTTTTGTGTATAGGGATGGGGAGCCAGAAATGTTTACAAATCCTTTAAACATCATTTTTTGAGCACGTTCATGATAGTTTAATGGTGTCTATACAAAATCCCACTTTCATTGCTGCTTTGGGGCAGACATACTGCTTCATGTCCTGCTGAAATACTGTAACTTTTTATACTACAAATGTTCCGGTTTATTTTATGTCTGCATGCTTTGTTGCACTATAGCGCAGGAGTGCCTCTCTAGATGGCAATACAGTGGTGCCCCGCAAGACGAATGCCTCGCAAGACGAAAAACACGCAAGATGAAAGAGTTTTCCGTTTTTTGAGTCGTTCCGCAAGACGAATTTCCCTATGGGCTTGCTTCGCAAGATGAAACGTCTTGCAAGTTCTTGCGAGTTTGTTTCCTTTTTCTTAAAGCCGCTAAGCCGCTAATAGCCGCTAAGCTGCTAATAGCCGTGCTTTGCAAGACAGAAAAAACCGCAAGACAGAAGAGACTCGCGGAGCGGATTAATTTCGTCTTGCGGGGCACCACTGTAATGTAAGAACACTGGGGAAGCATTACAAAACAACTAATAAAGTGGAACGATATGTTGACAGTCCAGTATAAGTCCACCCCTAATGCAATTGTATTGTGGCTGTTAAGTTGTGGGTGAACATATTAGACGACACAGCGATTCTCCAAACAGCTCTTGTTTATTCACAGGCCAGAACAGAACTGTACTGAAGGGGTCAGCCAGCCTGCTTATATAGAGCTCCACTAGAACGCAACAGTAACCATTTTCTGTAACTATCCAATCATTGAACGTCACTTTCAATCCCTTATTTGCATATGTGGACCTGAGTGAAAACTATCTAGAGTATCTCCCTGCTGGCCCCGGGTGAGAACTTCAGTACATAACAGTGGCAATAACTTGTTACAGAATAGGTATGCAGAATATATACAGTGGTACCTCGGGTTAAGTACTTAATTTGTTCCGGAGGTCTGTTCTTAACCTGAAACTGTTCTTAACCTGAAGCATCACTTTAGCTAATGGGGCCTCCTGCTGCTGCCGCGCTGCCGGAACACAATTTCTGTTCAGATCCTAAAGCAAAATTCTTAACCTGAAGCACTATTTCTGGGTTATCGGAGTCTGTAACCTGAAGAATATGTAACCTGAAGCGTATGTAACCCGAGGTACCACTGTATACAGAATGCAGAAGAAGCAGTAGAATTGTTGGAAAGTATAAATGGGACAAAATGACAAATAGCTTTCATAAGTAGATAAAAGATGGGAACAAATATTTGATTTTATAGTGGATTTAGATATAATATGTCAAATGGTTTTTCCTATCAATGCCAGGGGTATCAATGAAGAAATTATAAGGAAAAAGACACAGCACCATATTCTCCAATCCAGAACAGTACAACATACAAAACAAGACAAAATTCAATAAGTTATCCAAAGGGCTACATTATATTGTATTACAGAGCTATTAACATTCTAATTATCAATGTCACACACCAGGATTTTTTCAACATTGTTATTATTATTTTTTATTATCCATATTTTGTTATATTTGGGGGGGAATAAAGAATAAAGAAAACAAATGAACAGCATATATGAAGAAAATTTATTTAAAATAAAATCCTAAGAATGGAATATGTAGTATATAGCATGTGGAAAGCAAGAAGAGTGCTTATATATAAGAATACACACAGACACACATCCTCAAAAAGACACAAATAGATACCTCATCAACAATCAACAGCCTGAAGGAGTCCAAGGTCCTTCCATGTTTTTTTTCTGAATTATGTGTGAATGTCATTGAGGCCTGCATGACTTTGTTCAAACCCACCATTTATTAATGGTAAAACTACAAAGGGGTACATAGGTATAAGAAAAATTCAGAATGTTAATACTGGGATTGAGAGGGCCGAAAATGAAATGAAAGATATACTCTTCAGGATCCAGCCAAGACATTTTGTTGTCTGAGGCAAAGGGCAAGATGTCACCTGCTTTGCATGCACAGAAACCAACAAGCCTGGCAGCTGGACCTTATTTCAACATCCTCTATTGCACCTGAGGGAAGCAGGCTAGCTTAGGAGCCTCCAGCAAAGCAACACAGTACACCGAGAGGGGAAGGGCTGTGGGACGACTCAGGAGAAACGGCTCGTGAGGGAAGCTGCCACTAATGCCCCCCTCCATAGCAGCTGAGGCAGCTACTTCATTCTGCCAAATAGTAGAACTGGCCCTGACATCCTTTCTCAGCATCTCTGCACTGCAATTGACACAACCTTGTAGTAAAGTGGGGAATTCCTCTGATCCTGATATCCGCTTGCATCTGCTGTCTGTGTGATTTTTGTATCCATAAACAAAGGAAAGCAATGCTGAGTCTTTCTCTCCTCTCCCTTCCAAGACTGACAGAGTTTTGATTGCTTCCTGCTGTTTGCAGAGGTATTCTAGGGTTGTTTCCACACCAGTCGTTTTCTCTAAAAGTAACGCCATTCAGTCACTCACTTGCTATGAAGAATCCAAGCTGCCAAACCACTGCAATCCCGTGTAAACCCTGCAAGTCAGCGTATGTGCTCTGCATGCTGAGGCCCCCAGAGCAACGGGACATCCGGGAAAATTAAAAATGTCTGTCTTGCAGCTGCCTGTCCCGAATTACAGCACCCCTGACTGGGGAACAGTGGCAGACTTTGGGCTCTCAAATTTCAGTGGTGCCCTGTGTGGTGCTAAAATTTGGCACCCCAATGCCTCTCATGTTCTATTCTACAGTGTTGTTTTGGTACCTCCTGCAGCATGGTGCCCAGTGCGACTGGACTGGTTGCGCCACCCTAAAACTGTCTCTGTGGTGCCTTTCAGATGTCGTTGGACTACAGTTCCCATCATCTCTGACCATTGGCGTTGGTGGCTGGGGCTGGTGGAAGTCCAACAACATCTGGCAGGCACTGTCTTGGCTACGCCTGGTTTCAAGGAGCTGCATCAAACTGACTCTGCATGTGCCGCATACATCTAGTACATCCCCCTCCCCGATCCCAAAAGGATAATGGGAACTGTAGTTTGCTAAGCATGCTGGGAATTCTAACTCTGTGGGGGTAAACGACCATTCCCTGGAATCTTTTGGGAAGTGAAGTGCTTTAAATATATGGTGCGTATGCGGTCAGTTTCCTGAAACTGTCTTGAAACCAAAAGATACACCCAGAATTCACATGAAGGTACAGTGGTACCTCGGGTTAAGTACTTAATTCGTTCTGGAGGTCCGTACTTAACCTGAAACTGTTCTTAACCTGAAGCACCACTTTAGCTAATGGGGCCTCCTGCTGCTGCTGCCACTGCACGATTTCTGTTCTCATCCTGAAGCAAAGTTCTTAACCCAAGGTACTATTTCTGGGTTAGCAGAGTCTGTAACCTGAAGCGTATGTAACCTGAAGCGTATGTAACCTGAGGTACCATTGTATATCATATTATATAGGATCATACGAAACTTCCTTATGCTGAGTCAAATTTTTGATTCGCCAGAAGCGGCTTAGTCATGCTGGCCACATGACCCAGAAGCTGTACGCCGGCTCCCTTGGCCAGTAAAGTGAGATGAGTGCAACCCCAGAGTCGGTCACGACTGGACCTAATGGTCAGGGGTTCCTTTACCTTTACCTTACATCAGCATTTGTCTGTTTTGACTGGCAGCAGGTCTCCAGGGTAGGGTTGCCAAACATTCGGAATTTTCCGGACATAGCCGGTATTCAGCCCTCATAAACAGCATCTGGGGGAAATCGCTGAAATGTCCAGGAAAATCTGGCTGTATGGCAGCCCTACCTTGTAGAGCTGCTATAACAGCAACTTTTGTGTCCGGATTTTCACTTTTTGAAATATGGCAACCGTACACCAGGGAGTCAGGTAGAGGTAGAGTTCTGTGTCATTATCTTCTACTTGAGATGCTTTTAACTTGAAACACCAGGGACTAGACTTTGGGTCTCCTGCTGTTGAGTGGTGGTCCCCTTCCAAATTTTCCTTCCTATTTTTCGACATTCAATTCCTCTCCCTCCCTGAAGGCCCCACTCAGCAAACTTTCCCAATTTGTTGCACTGAAGGGCAGCAGTTTGCTGTGTAAAGGTTATTGATTTAGACTCAGGGATTTCTGGAATGTGAAGTGTTGCTAAGAACCGGTGATCCTCTCATTCAGCTTTCTCTCTGGTAAATTGTTTGTATTCTTGGAAACAGAGCCAACAGTCTTCTGGTAATATTTATGCTGCAATGTTTAGTTCAAAATAAGATGCTGGCTTGCATTTCTGCCTGGCCTTTGTGGCCTCCCAGGCCTTGCCCAGATAAGCCTGCCGGGTTGAAGCTGGAAGGATTAACAGAGATCCCAGAAGCATATTTGGGGGTGGGGGCTCCCTGTGGTCTAATATATTAAATTAAAAATTAAATTCAAGAAGGATCCAAACTGTTACTGCATAGCCTCATCCGTACATGTACACATGGCACTTGACCAATACATGTTTTGATCCTTAGCCAAGAGTCACAGTGTGCCACAGGGCCAATTATACTTGTAGAAGAGGGAATTTAGCAATCAATCAACAAGCCA